ACCAAATTGTATTTCGAAATTCTGAGTGGTAATTTCCGCAACCATTGTAATCATCCCTTCACTACTTGCCCATTAGCCGACTGAATTAGCCCATAACCGGAATGCACGCGAATGTTGAGTTGACAATAATTGCCTGTGGTGCCTCGTTATTGCAGTCTTATGCACATTGGCGAGGGTAGAATGCCTTGGAGACCAGGGCTAGGGTTAGGCAGTGTTAGGGCATGTCCTCGACTGGCCACTTCAAATATGACGGTTTTGCGGGGCCCAAGTATTTTTTATAAAACTGACAGGTCTTTCGACCCCCATTAGAGGGTGGTCTTAGCGTATTTACGTGTTCGTGCATAGCTGTCTTCCTACAGACAATTCGGCGCGCATTAGACCGCCAGAACGAGCCGAAAGTTTTGCTTAAAAGGTTGTCGACAGACGGAATAACCCGACCCTCAGAACCCGAGGGTCCGACCTCTATAGCAACACCTCAGTTTAGAGACCCAAGACCCCGCGCTTTGTGCGCGTGGGGGGACCAGCGCATGCGTGGTGAGAGCAGATGGGTCTGGGTTTGTCAACCGTCGGGTCCAGGGGTTCCTACTTTGTCGTGCCATCTGAATAGGGTGGGTGTGTCCTATTCACGCGCGAGTCCTTACCGCGACCGCAGCACACCGCTGCTCCGCGTCGTTTGCAGCTTATGAAATATCACCTTGCGGCACGACCAAAAGTGAAATGGACTGAAGGAGATTCTCTCCTGGTTTCGGGCTCATCCGTCAAGCTCGATGTGGACCTTTCATCCCAAAGACAGCTACCCCGACTGACGTTCGAACTTCAGCAATTTTCTGGACTATTCCGTATCTGTAAACTTTCTCTAAGTCTAATGATTTTCTTGCGCTTGCCGATACAAGCGAAGCTGCGAGTTCCAGGAACTATTTGATCAGAAGAAGAAGAGGCAGTAGAAGAAGAAGAAGGGCTTTATTCGCCCGACGTTTCGGATTCTCACTTGAACCAATCATCAGAGACAGAGGCGTTTCTCTGGGCTAGTCCAAAAGAGTAACTGTCCATCAACCTGGAGATAACTTTTTCTTTAGAGCCAGGAAGAAGGCACTACCGACTCCTTCCAAGCCTATCGAGTGTTGCTATGCGGGCTCTGGACTTAAGCGGTCCGATCACCCCTAATACAGTAGGCGTGTCACTGTGTCGCACAATTCGACCTAGGTAAGTGGTTTAGCACTGCCCCTAAAACGGGACTCACGGTAGTAAATGTGCTGGACCGGCACGTGGGCCCTATCGGATTCCGGCAGGCGTTATTGGCAATGCGCACGCATAGCAAGTGCCAACATTGATAGTGTGTCGGCACGCCGAGGTGCGGGCCTGCACAGCGCCAGTTTGGCTCCGAGTGGCCGTTGTGTAAAATCCTGATCAGTCTGCGTTTCGGACCAGGGGGTGTGCTGGTACGCCCAGGTGCGGATTTTCGCTGTGCCAGCCCCCTGCGTCCTCCCCTGCTCCGGTCTTCTTGATTATGTCTTGACACCGAACCCAGGCGGGGGAGGAGAGGGTGCGATATATGCTGCGCAAGTCCACTATCACTATGAGGTAATTCACGCGCAAGTCACCGTCCCTGATGTGAAGCACACGGTGGAAATCGTCGGAAACGACGGCCGAACTGTCAAACATGGCGCAGTAGGCAGAACCAAATATCATGCAACGTCTTTATGGTAATATCCATAGCAGAATAGCGCCCAGAATAAATTGTAATGGAGAAAACGACTCCAAATGGATAGCGTGCAGAGGGCTTCCCTACCGGTGATCATCTAAGAACCCCATTGACAAGGTGTTCAATGACATGTGGAAGACGCCGCGGGGCGCAACGGCTTTTACGGTCGTCGTGGGCTAAAACAATGCGTCCATGGTTGTATTTTGGCTATATTTTATCTTTGTTTGTTAAGTGATCACCCTCTCCACCCCACGCACACACACACACCGTCTTGACACAAGCAGCCCGCAGCTAACTTTGCCTAAAACATGTCTACGCGTCCGGAACGTAAACCGCGCAGTGCAAAAAAAACGCGTTTACTGGAACAAATGTCTCCATGTACATGTGTCGAACGGAGTTTTTCATTATTTCACTGAGGAGGATTCACACCCATGTCCCAACAGCAAAGTGCAAAATGACAAGGAACGCTCTTTTTCCCAGTTTATTCTCATTCCTAGTTAGGAAATTCGACTGGGTACGGGAATCTGGCCTTTTGCATGCTGCAGGTGCCCTTTTCCTAAAATCCAATGGGGCTTCGGATCAAGGCTAGCGTTAGGTTTACTGTTAGGGTTAGAAGGGTTAGGGGTAGAGTTTGGACACGGGAATAGGTGCCATGGCTTTTAGGGCGGGGCAACCTGTAGTACGGTAGGAGTCCATATTCCCGTGTCTGACCGAAACCCCTGCTTCCACCTGACTGCTTTCCGAGTTCCAAACTTTCATCCTTTTGAGGAAAATGAAGTGCTCACCGGATCGAGGGACTTGTTCGGCTGACCTTTCGAAGAGCTGGGGCGGCTATCCATTATCAAAGCGTATAGTGAAAAAATCGATCGGAAGTTTGAATAGACAGCCGGATTAGATGGCCTTGGGCTGGTCGATTTTTTTTCTTCTTTCGCTGCCTTGGCCTACTGGCCGTCGCCTGTGAGTGTCGGTGGCCTCCTGTATTGTGTGTCGTCACCTCAATTGGGGTTAGTTGCGTTTGCGTCCTCCTTTTGACTTAATTGGTCGGCAGGCTGTGTTTGCTCGGTAGTCTTAAGCTCCGTATGACTCTTGTTTTCATCAAGATGTATGTAGTGACGTAGGACTTTATAGGCCGAAGGAAGGTCTAGATGCCTGTTGATGGAGTTGGCGTCAGAGTACCAAGCCTCAAGTGTGAGACGTTCTGTCCTTGAGATGCCCCTTCCTAAGACGGCTGCTCCTTGAAAATCAAAACTGTGATCAGTTTCCCCGATGTGAGTCGCAAGCTGTGAGTTTGGGTTTAGTCTCCGAGTTGCCAAACAAGTCCTCGATCCGGTGAGCACTTCATTTTCCTCAGAGTATTGACCCGAATCTCTTACTTTCGCTAACCTGATTTCATCTTTCTGTTTAAAAAATCTTATTAATTAGAAGCAACTTACTGCTACTTTAGTGCGTAGCCTTGTCTTCTTCATAATTAGGGTAGTGGCTTTTTTTTCTTCGTTTTCGGATTTTGTACAGTGTTGGCGACGATTTTTAGTCTGCTTTGCGATGAAGACTGTCCGCTTCCGTTCACCTGAATTCACGCTGAATTAGCGTTGGCAGTTGACGAGTGTAGCATCTTTCGTGGGACTACGGATGAATATCTCCTGCTTTCGGAGACAGTGCAACCACGGCTCCCATGCGGCCCGCATCGTTGTAGTTGTCGTCGTCGTCACATCCGATGGACGACGAAAATCGAGTTTCAAAGCCAAAAAAGCATGGAAATGGAATGCAGAGGATAGAGGAAGGGAGACGATGGAATCCAGGTGGGGAGATGGATACAGCACTGTCTCGGGCTTGTTTGCCTTCATTTAGTCAGTCATAAACCTGACCGCCAGCTGGTACCGGAAATACACGCGCACAGACACAGCCGACGCAGCTGATCCGTCACTGGGATCTACCAGATGGGTCATCGAAGCGAAGTCCATCAGTGCCTCGTCACCCGTCATTCTCTTCGGAAGCTAATAAGTCGGTCTGCGTCTATTCCGGAATGAATAAATACCCTATCTGTAACGACAGAAAGTGGAAGGTGGCGAGGCACTGATGAACTTCGCGTCGATGACCCATCTGGTAGATTCCAGTGGTGGACCAGCTGCGCCAGGCGTGTCTGTGCGCATGTGTTTCCGGTACCAGCTGGTGGTCAGGTTTATGACTGACTGAATGAAGGCAAACAAGTCCGAGACGGTTCTGCATCCAACTACCCCCCCAGACTCTGTCATCTCCCCTCTACTATCACAGTTTGTTCGACTTCGACCTGGCAGGTGGTTGTCTGTTCGTGACCCCATACGAAGCCTTTTTGTTTCGGGAAGCCAATGGATCGGTGTACGCCCGTTCCTCCTGGTCCAGGAGTGTGCAGGCAGCGAAGACGCAAGCACCGCCATTGCACATTGCAAACTAGTGGCAAACTAGTTACTGAACAATGTCCATCTAGAACCAACCGGAGAAGTCGGACTCAGCATCACAGCGACGTGAGTCATCGGTGCCAGCTGCGAGACAAGTACCTCGCACAGTCTAAAAATGTGCATGCCACTAAGTCGGCGTGCTTTTATGAAGGCCGTGAGCAGGAAGGATTGAGACCCCAAATGCCCTGCCACATTGTGTGTGCGGGACACCCCACAGGGTTTGGTCTCGCGATCTCTGTGTTGGCTCCCACAAAGGTTTTGAAAACAATTATTTCTCACAACAAACGTGAGATCGCCTTACAAGCGTAGTTTAAGCATTCTAGAATGCTTTGGTCACGTGAAATCCATTGTCCATCTGCGGTGAGGTTGCTGCTAGTCAACTCTGTACTGTTAATGATTCCCAAACTTTATAACTCATTTTTGTCAATTAGTACTTAGGGTTGGCCTCATACTATCTATAGATGTCGTTCGTTAGGCACTGTCAAAAAGTTGGTTGCAGTTTTACGACGTCCATATTCTGACGTCGACCTGGGGAACCAGTAGCGTTGGACCCCTGCACGAGGTCGAATGCTTAGAAAATAGACAGACTGTTCCGGTGCTCAACCGGCTTTCTTCTTAAAAGATGTTTTGTTCTCTCATATACCCATTTCTATATACCAGTCCCATCCTGTACCTGTATACATTCAATGAAGGATGGACGCGCACCGGTCTACTGGGTTCCCGAAGCAAATCAGTTCCGTATGGTTGCCAAAGTTCATGAACAAGCACCCGATCTGCAGCGTCAGAGGATGACAGGTAGCAAGCACTGATGAACTTCTGTTTACTTACTACTACTACTTGATACGGCTGCGATCATGCCTGATCTAGCCGGCCTCGATGATGTCCCGAACTGTACCTCTCCACGCGTGACGATCCGCGGCAGCAGATCTGGACAGCTCAACCCATTCCCTTCGCCAACGACGGAGACCGAATACCGAAGGTCCAAGAACCACCTCCATGTCTTGACGGACAGTGTCGAGCCAGGTTTTGAACTGACCCCCGCTTCGAAGCCTCCAATGGGGCAACGGTGCCGCATCGAGGACTGTAACAATGAGCTCCTGACGTGGACGACGAAGAACATGCCCGAACCACCTCAGTCGTCTTTCTTGGATGGCCTGAGTTATCCTTGCGATGTTGTCGCAGCGAGCGCGGACTGTCTCATTAGAGACGAAGTCGGTGTACTTCACTCGAAGAATGGTGTTCAAGCAGTGGTGGTCAAATACCTTCAGTTTTCGCTCGTCCTCCACGAGCAAAGCCCAGCACTCACAACCGTAGAGAAGAACAGACCGGACAGATGCACGGTACACGCGAATCTTACTGGCGATGGAGAGGTCGCGTCGGTTCCACAGGCATTTCCGAGGGCTTGAGAAAACCCAGCGGGCAGCATCGATTCGGGAGACAATGTCGTCCTTACTCTGTCCATTCGGCAGCAGCCTCGCCCCAAGGTATTCAAAACTGTCTTTTCTTCAAGTTGACAACCATCAATCCCGAGGGCTGCCTTCTCCTGGTCAGGGATGCAGCTTGAGAACACTTTGGTCTTCCCAGCGTTTATGGACAAACCGACCCGATTTAGCGACCTCGTTCACCCGTGACACCATAGACTGCAGATCACCAAAATTTGAAGCAAGTAAGGCGATATCATCGGCATAGTCGAGATCAGTCAGACGATGTCCGGGTGAAAATTCAACACCGTCACTCTCGCGCAGGGCCCTCCCGAAGATCCAGTCAATAGCGTAGTTGAACAGTATGGGTGACAGGATATAACCCTGTCGGTCGCCAGACCGAATACCGAACGGTTGGGAAAGATTGTTGCGGACCAGGACTCTCGCAGTAGTGGAGCGATAGTAGGATAGTAGGAGCGATAGTAGCGATATTTGCCGGTACACCATCTAGCGCCATTATCCGCCACAGGGACTCACGGTGAACGGAATCGAACGCAGCGACAAAGTTTACTGAAATGCTTATGACCTGTCTGCTAGAGCAGCGCTGTGTGAAGCATCGTAGAAAGAAACAGCAGAACGGTGACAATTCTGACAATTTACTCGTCTTTTACCAGCCATTATGATTGATGTTACTGTCTCAAGTGAATACTTTTCAGTCCATATTGCGCGCCGCTGTGCGACCGCCTGTGATTATTCTAGTTTGAGTCCCAAGTCCGAGGACGTTCCGTAGCCTGATCGGTGAACGCTCATATATCATAATTTCCGATCACAACCAACGGGTCAACGGACCCAGGGCCCTACGTCCAAAGGCTCCGGGTCCAAATCTCAAGTGATCCACACTTGGGGTTCGGTTTGACTGGCTGATGACGGCTAATAAGCCAGAAACTGAAGAGAAGTCCCCTAACTGAACCGATTGGCTAAATAAGGACATCTTGGGGAGTTCTCTTGGCAACTGTTCTGGAAACATGGAAAGTAGTGCTAATTTATGTGAAGGCCAAGAGGCGACCATGACGCAGTATTTCCGTCGGTTTCGGTGTGACTATCGCCCCTCGATCGAAAGTTCCCGTTATTGTCACAAGTGAATGCTTTACAGCCCATATTGCGTGCCGCTGTGTGACCGCCTGTAAATATTCTAGTTTGTGTCCCAAGACACAATGACACAAGCCAGATTTGGATAAAATCGGACGTTTCCTGACATCCCCGTAATTTCCTAATCTATAAAATATCGCTGGGAGTTTCAAATAAACCCCATCTTGGACCGGGAAATTGAACCTTTTATTCACGGATATCAGGTGGGATCAGGGATGAGAAACCGCATTGTTTTCAAGCAGCAAGGAGAGGATTCAAATTTCGGGCAGTTTTTGCGTCGCGGCGCAGTAATAAACATGTGCTGCAGCACGTTTTTATACCACACCGAGAATTAAAAGGCGTAAACAAATATATTTATTGAATAAACGCGACACGCCGTCACTTTTCTGTATCACGTCGTGCGATAAGGATACTTGAGCAGGTCCTATCGGGCGGTGATTTTGAGCGCATGTGAAAACTGGCATCTGAAGGGCTATAGTGTGAGTCGCTATTTATTATTTTCAATATTAGCCACGTCACACTTGGGAATATTACTGATAACAGAACAATGCCAAGAACTAAGTAGACTGTCACAATGGCCCACAAGCAAGCGGGACGACGATTTGTTGTACACAAAAACTACCCTTATGTGTTGGCTCCTTTATGCGTTAGCTCAATTTTCACCCGTTTACATTTTTATTTTCCCTCTCTGCAGTCAGTTGTATCAGGCCTTAAACATCTAAGTCGTCAAATTGCTGTTTTTTGACTTGGTGGTCTGCAATAAAATAAATTACTTCTTAATCAGTAAATAATACATCATAAATGGAGATATACCTTCTTTTTACGAACGGTTGTTTATTTAGCGCAGTGTTACTTTCGCCGACGAGTAGTGAACGGCATGTGCGCTAAAAGGTTTACAGTAGGTGGGATAACTCACGAAATGTCAACCAAAATTCCGAAATGCGTTTTCGTTTCGAAAAGATTAAGTAAGTAGCGTTGTAAAACTAGTCAGCGTGCAACATAATTCTATAATATTTCTGTTACCTCAGGATGCCGGCTTTCGAATGAATTTTCTTCCGTCTGCATGCAAAAACTACGCTCTGCGAAAAACAGCCACTTAAGTAGCATGCATTTTTCTCATTGACTATCGATGCCCCTAAAAGCCCAATTATATTTCACGGAAAGCATGCATAAAAATATTCATTCTTTTGCTCATGCGCTAGAAAATTACGGCTTCTAATTTTATACTCGAAAGAGGGACATAATTCAGTTTAAAAAAGTTTCTAATTGTGGGACTTTTAAATATCGTTAAATGACCGATCATAAATCGTCATGCCTCTGCATTTACCAATGTGACTTGTAAAGTTAACAATATGGATCAAATCCACGGCGAAATTTTATAAACCCTATATATTCCCCCTTAATTACCGTAGAGAAATGTTTGGTTTTCCGTACGCGGAAAATATACGCCTTGTAGTTTGGAAACCCTGAATCCAAGTGTAATGATAGATCGGGTTCAAAATTATTCGGGAATCGGAAAGGTTTTTGAAAACCGGATTATGCCCTTCCTTCGAGTATAACATTGGCGGAAGACGTAACTATCTACTAAATAAGCGGGAAAATGAATATTTTTATGCTTGTTTTCCATGAAATACAATTGTACTTTTAGGAGCATCAAAAATCAATAAGAAAAATTCATGCTACATAAGCAGTCATTTTTTACAGAGTATGGTTTTTGCATGCAGCCGAAAGGAAGTTCATTCGAAAGCCAGCATCCTAAGGTAACTGAAATATTATAGAATTATTTTGCCGGCTGACTAGTTTTACAACCCTATTTAATTAATCTTTTCGAAACGACAACGCATTTCGGAAGTTCGGTTGACATTTAATGAGTTAGCCCACCTACTGTAAGTGCGAATTACGAGCTTTATACCTGTGTTCTCTTTGTGCATGGCTCCCGCTCTCGCTATCTCAGTGCATTTGTGTGCAACTGGCATCATAGGCGCTCCCGGCAACGAAAAAGATTGAGTTCCTCTTCTAACTCGGCCTTCTACATCGCCCTGTTTCATCCCCGGAGTGTCGGGGCATGCGAACTAGCCCATCCCGCCGCCCCCCCCCAATGCAATGATAATTTTGTGTGTAAATCTTCTGATCGGATAGTCTTCTGTGACAAATCTGACGATGAAGGTAAATGCACCCGTCAAACCGCCTTTTTGAATGAGCAAACGATGCGTACTATCCTGCGATTAAATAAATGACCACAATAATCAGTGGCGTCGCTTTGAGAACCTATGCCGAAATGTCCTAGGTCCGCTTTCTGAACAGCTTTTGAGCAGGAGACAAAAGAGCCCTCAGGGGTTTGAGAGACTGGTCAGTTCTGAAACCGCACATTTATTTGTCCCAGCACATGGATGAGCAGTAGTCGAAGTGACTGACAAAGAGGAGAGGCATTAGCATACTTCGTTTCATCTCATCTGCCGAGGACATCGGCGAGCGTAATTCCCAGGCAACAGCTCCCTGCCGATTATCCCCTCACATCAGTCGCCCGTTGTCTACCACTTTAGCTATCTGAATTTACGAATGTTTACTTGAAGCCTTGGCGTTTCGAGGGCGATAGTAGAAACCGTCATCCAGGTGCCGATATAACTAAGGAGTTTTTATGAGTAATCCACGTCTTGCGCAGATAGCATCCTGACTATCTTTAATCCTTTTAGACTAAGTTCTTATCGACCGCGTCAGCTGCTACTCAACAGTAATCTCAACTTGCAGTCTCTTTCCTTTTTCCCTTTCAAAGGAGTGGCAGATAACAAACACTGTCCCGTCCCAGTGCCCGCCATCTCCTTCTCCCCGCTGACGCTGACGGTAATTTTTCACCTCGCCCACCCAGACCCTCTACCCCAAGCCCCAGCTACAGAAAAATTTCTGCATGCCCGCATTTTATTTTTAATCACTTCGATATCAGCATAAATGTAAAGGCCTGATGAGAATTTATCAAAAGCTTACGTATGCTCGCCAAATTGTCTTTTGAATTCTTCAATGGGAATATACGCAACTCTAACACACTGGACAATTTAATCCACATTTGACAGGTTTTGGATTTATTTGATAAAGTGTCTCCGGAGGTCGATGGTGACAACATGCTATTCTATCACAGATGAACTGAAGTTCAACGTCGTGGGACTCGCACTACCCGACTACGTACTGAGAGTTACACTGTGAGTGAATTTGTGCAACGAGTTAACCGCGTAAAATACACAATGGGTACCCATGTGTTCTGATGCACAAATGACATACATCTATGATAACCGCTTTATCGGTCTGCACATCACATTTGGACCACGGGACTTTGACCTGAATTAGTTCCTCCCTGTCTTCGGTTTGCAAATAAAAACTTGTTTCAAAGAAAACGAGGAGTTAATCAATGTAACAATGTTGCATTAGTGGGAACGTTCCGACCCGCGCAGAGACCCTATCATCGGGAGGAGTGAAGATGCAGCAACGAACACGTAGCTTTTGTACTTATCTTCTATCTGTCGACTGTATGCGTCCCTGGGTGGAAACCGGCCTCACCGTCTGTCAGTGGATGCGCAACGCATAATCGGTTGGGAGAACTCCATACGACGGTCTATGCAGTTAGCATCGGGGTTCAGGACTCGAAAAACCTACAGTCTGACTTGAGCTCACGAGTTCGAACTCACTATCTACCTCTGGGGTGTTTACAGCGACCTGGAGCAGCAGCTAATCCTCCAACTGCCAGTTTTTGTTCATGTGTTCGTAGTCTAAGTCTCTCTGCAGTCTGACCTGCACGACTGCAGGGGCAATTTCGACGTGGAAGTTGACGGACGTCACTAAATTTCTCGCCTGTTTGTGGTCGATCATTGACTTACGTGAGCCTTGCATACGGGGATTTCCGATGGAGGGCGATAGCCACGTCGAAATCGACGACAATACTTACTGTTGCGTAATGGTCGCCTCTTGGCCTTCACACAAATTAGCATTACTTTGCATGTTTCCAAAACAGCTGCCAAGAGAACTCCCGAAGATGTCCTTATTTAGCCAATCGGCTGAGTTCAGGGTTCACTCACCAGTTTGCCGCGCAATGCCAGCTTGTCACAGGCGGTCAAAAATTGACGAATCCAGCGCGATGCGTCTGATAGTGTAGTACATTTTTACTATTCATTTGTACTGATAAGTTGCAAGTAGCGAGTAAGCAATACATAAAATTGATCATGTTCGTCCAGTAGGCTAGAAACAGTATCCAACTGTGGCCTTCCGTGAGGTTCACGGGTTTACGTTGATAGCAACCAAGCAGCCGCGAGCAGAAATACTGAAGACGGAAGCATTGACAAGGATGTTGCACCATTACATCGGTCAGAACCACAGATGCACCTTTCAGTAACACGTCCCTGGGACAGGGTGGAGTCGCAACGCTCTTCGTCGCTTGTTGCTCCCTCGCTTGCACAGAATCGACGGACAATGGTAATCTCTGTGAAGAAAAAAGGATAGTTTCTTGTGTGACTTGTGGATGCAGAACGGCTGTCAGTCGCAGCTGCTGACAGACGGTCTAATCTACGTCGCAAAATTATGCCAACAGATAAAAGCAATGTCTTAGGCTTATTTTGAAGCACTGAACTTCATTTCTATTCAGCCTGTTGAATTTCTTGACATTCACTCATCTTTAAGTTTCCACATGCAAGTCATGTGCGGATCCTACGTCTGAAGGAGACTTTGTCGACTATAATTCATCATTATATTTTTTATTTTATTCTCGGTTTTATTGTGTTCAAACACCATATGAATACCATGAAACTCAGGCTCTCATGTTTTTGTCTGCTTGGTAATTCTTGTCACAGCTGAGTGCCTTTCACATTCGCAGGTATGTTTCAGGCACTTTGCAGAATGAGTCAAAACATAAACCGCCGAGGAGATATCTATAAGCTTACCTCGATCTTCATGGACGCCGAAGTACAGGTTGGATCTTGTCACCAACTTTCCGCATCCCCGGGGCTTGAAGTCTTCTGTTTCAACGCTGAAACACAAAACACATCAGATGCTTACCCAGCAGAGACTAAAGGTGCCTTCAGTTAATTTAATCAGGCAATTCAGAAATTTTGGACATTTTCAGAAACCAGCACGATACAGACCAAAAGAAATTACTGACTCGGTGCTAGGAAATGAGCCTCCCACGCAGGATGGAACTGTGGACCTCGCGATTTCGAGCCAGTTGTCTCATCCACGACACACCCGACAGCCTTGTTAAAGATCGATATCCCTTTATTATTCGCTTTGACTACCGGCTTGTAATTCAGCCTAACCGACCCTTTTGTTTGAAGTTCTTAGAAGGCCACGTGCGACTATGGATAAGAAGAAAGGCATGAACACCCCGTAAGGAGTCAGATAATGAAGGCGATCTGCCAGGGGAGGCCTTCGCAACCAGCAGCCCAGCGGTTCGGAACATCGCTTATTCCGAACAGTCAGCCGACGTATTCTCCATCATGGAGTTGGCAGCACAGCCCGTGCAAGGCCTTAAGGTTGACGTCGTGAAACCCATCTGCAGACGATGGTTTATAGTTGCGTGCATGTTTCGCATTTCCTCTAATCGTACCCACTAAACACCTTGAGCATTCTACAAACTGGTGGAGCGTTTTTGTCTATCAGGACAATGGATGTTATGGCTAAGCGGGTTTTAACTTGACCGCAAATCTAGACATATGCACGCACCGAAGCTATAAAACCTTTCAGAATTTCGTCTACCCATGGAGTCATCATACTAGCGGAGGACCTGGTAGGTCGACTGCAGATGATATATATATATCAATCAGGAATGAGCGCACACCGATCTATTGGCTTCACGAAGCAAACAAGCTCCGTATGTGTGGCAAAGGTCACGAACAGGCAACCAATTACCAGGCCGAAGTCGGCCAAGTCATAGTAGCAGCAAGGAGGGACAGGGTTATGATTGGCTGAATGAAGGCACAATAAGCCCGAAACAGTACTGTATCAATCTACCCGCATTCTCTGTCGTCCCTCCTTGCTGCTATATATATATATATTGACAGCCGAATGTACAATAGGCACCTTTGCAGTTCAGTGTTGTTGCGCCAGCCGCTTTCCTAAAATCCTCAACTGTCCTTATCATCATGAATATTTTTGATCTCACTTCAGAGAAGTTAAACCTCTTTATTGTCAAACAGGAGAGTCAGCTTCGAATGTCAAGTCCTTCTGGGCTGTGGTTGGTCTGTGGAATGGTAACCAGGCCCAACTAGAGTTACTGCCCAGTCACCGTTACATCGTGACCTTTTACTGGGTTTTGAAGATGGGTCGTAGTTGCAGCGGAATTTTGATAGTAACCGATACTTGGACATGAAAGTCCCCAGGAAAATCACCGCTTTCTTTGACTTACATCCTCGATGATCTGGCCGACGTACAGTGCGTGACCTATCTCATGAAATCTGATGGGAGAATTTCTAAAAGTCTTTAGCGTTACGCATTTTGTTCGCCCATTCACTTACTTCAATAAAATGCCCTTTTCTTATGCAGAAATTGTGTTTACGCAATTGTATCAAGTAAAATATCAATAAATTTTAGCGAAAATGGACACTGGAATATATTTGTGCAATTTTTTATGCTAATGCGTGTCCTAGACTCCGGTTACGCATCTGAGCGACTTTTACATTCATAGAACAGTAATTTACCAGCGAGAGTTATTATAAACAGATTTATCCGAACTTAAAAATTTATTCTGTGTCCGAGGTTAACCATGGTGATCAACCTGCTAACAAAAACGTTATTTTAAGAAAACCAGAAATTTTATCAATTCCTAAATGTCAAATTAGCAGATCTGTGCGATTTAGTGCCCTAAAGTGCAGTAATAACGCAGCTAGGGATTCCTTCGTTTTAATAGCCCGAAATTACTTCGCCGCTTGGAAAATTTTACCTGATGTCACATAAATAGCCGCAACCGATTGGTCAGTTCCAGCTTTAAACATATGAAGCACTACCGTTCGTGTAGTTTAGCTTCTGTGCATATCTTGTTTAGAAATAGGACGAACAAAACATTTATAGCTTCAGCAAAATCTTAGTATTTATGTGGGCGCTCTGCAGTGCATTCATAATCAAAGAACGGAGTCTAAAAGCGAGAGAAAAAAGTGGAAATCGCCTCAATATATAGAAGAAGGCGTGGTCTTACGTTTACGATAGAAAAATATTAGTATTGTTAAGGAACGTGAAAGAAGCGGTCAAAAGTGTCAAATGTTTACTTGGCCTCACAGTGCAAAAATGCAAAGCTCGCAGAGATCCGTCAGCGGAGTGAAATAATAAAGCACTTCCAAAAGCGGTAACTTATTAAGGAAAGTTTCCTTATTGATCTAAGGTATATTCGTTGCTGACTTTCGTTGTGGACAGCCAGTTTTCTCGAAAATGAAGTTGGATGTTTGAATGAGTCTTTCAATGCGACCCAAACGACCGTCTTCTTGAAAAGGAGAGCCCGAACACTCACTAATTCTGTAAATGCCTTCAAGAACAATCTTATTTTAAATTTCTCAACAGACAGGTAATTCAGAATCTGTTTTTATGTGCGATCAGGTGAAAACACTGAAAATCATGAAGTATTCAGCAGCATTTTGAGGTTGATCTGAAACTCAGCGCAATCAAAAACGAACGGTGTAAATTATTTTTAACAGAAGAAAAGTTCTCTCTATAAACAGAAAATAATGTATGATCACGCCTGTCAGTTCTATTTAAATTTATTAGGCACCGACCGACCTCATGGCATGTCACCTTATGAAATCTTTTGTTCCTACGACGTCCCCATCGGTGAAACAAAGCAAATTCCAGCTTCTCTTGTTGAACCCCATCCAATTTACTTCAGACGCGCCAAAAATCACATTACTTACTGGAAAACTGTTATGGAATTTACACTCAGGATGCAGGCAGTTGACAAACCGTCATATATGAAATCACACTACTTATTGAACGATGTTTAGATGACAATTTCACAAAAACACTGTTATTAGACGTGATTTTATGTCTACTTTCACATCTACTATGTTTTAAATAAGAGACTGCATTCTATATGTTTAAAAACGAAGTTTACTAAACTAGAGCGATTTCTGACGTTTTCGGGATATTACGCTTTTCAAAATAATTGGGAATTTCTAAACAACGGAACACTGCCTTCAATATTTCTTTTGTATATTTAAGTCTATTAAACTTGTGCTTAATTTGCATAGACGTTTGACTCATGAAATGATGTCGGTCTGCGAGTGATTGGCAATCATTCGTAAATTTCAACACATTTCGTGCGTTAGGTCACTAACTGAATGTGTCTACTACCGATTTCTTCCCTTCAATAGGCCTCCAGAATAGGGCTTCATAGACGACCAGTCTATATGACGGCAAGGAATTGATACTCTCTGGCATCCGTTTGTGGCGATCGGCCTTCACTCTCCTTTTCGGTATATCTGCTGTGATTTGCGTGGTGTTTTGGTGCCCTGGTTGGTGGTTGGAAGAAGTAAGAGTTTTTTTGCTCTCTACAGACAAAAGACTTCAACTCGCATCCAACATATTTTGTGACAACTGCAGCGACTGGTTCCCCTCCCCTAGTAAGGATGCAGGTGATTATTGTCCAAATTTGTGCGGCGACTTCATGGGAAGGGAGCATGATCTAATCGCAGCCAGACAGTATCAGTGCAGCTAGAATAACTACTTCAGCTTGTAGGGTCATTATATGATTTACGAACGAATCACCTACAAGGGCAAAGGGCACTAGAAGGGTCGTTAGTGGCTTGATTGCCGTCCTCAGTCAACCCTGCCCTAAAACTTTAGTTGCAAAATACGATGAAGACAAAGAAAAAAAAGAAGGAGAAGACTCGATCGCTGAGACAAGGACTTTAGTTTACCAGGTGTTTCAGCTTGACTCAGGTCCTCCATCAAAGACTACAACAGAATGAGATGGCGGACGCACGAAAGGTGCGGTGCTCGTAGGATTCAGCTGTTACGTCAAAATACGCCTACACCCACCAAAATTCGTAGCTTTCGCATGCATGGGGGATGCTCCTAAGATAATTAATTGGTTGAACGCGTTCAAGTCGTTAATGCCCCCCCCCGATTTCATGACCGGTGTTAGTAACTTTTTTCGCCTGTATTTTCACCGGGAGGAGTGTCAGCTCTTGCGTTCCCGCCGTAGCAAATAAATCTGCCAGTCTTGGCCCCGACTATTGAGGGAGAGTGTAGCTGCGTCCGTTAGTGGTCCGCGGACCGGAGAAGCAAACTTCAAGCAGCGCACAAGACTTAGGGGCATGACTACAGAGAGTTTAGTAGGAGAATAATTAGTTCCAGAAAATTCTGACTAGAGAAGGGGTAGAGGAGACACCGAAGACATTAACGTGAGAGTGACGTGCACCGAGCTGGCCTGCTTGCAGGCGTGAAATACTAATTTCCGTTTCGCATTGAAGCTGCGGTTTTACGGTTAACATAGACGGACACAGGGCCAATAGTAATAAGTCAACTAATCGTTGATCCCGAGTGTGCATCTCCGGATTGCTGACGACGACAAACAAACCAGAAATGACCATTGCAGTGTCCTGGTTTTTGTTGGTAAAACTTATCAACTACTGACATCTTGCTCAGTAGCGCCTCTGGGATAGAATGTAGGCGTCTCATTGGTGCCATACACGGACCTGTTTTGTGATTCGGCAATACAGTTTATGAGCTTCTGCCCAATGAACTAGCACTGTGAATAATGTCGGAATGATAATCTTATCAGTAATCACTGACTTAGACAAGGACTGAAAACTTCAATGAAATCGAATATTTAAACTTGCCGTACTACATGGAAGCGGGTGAAATGAGACTACTCACACCCCGTTGATACCAAGTTGCTAATTTAAAACCCATTCATTCATATATAACAAAATATGAAGTAAATGTACAGTGAGTGACCGATCTCATGAAATGTTGGCTGAAATTCTGAAATGCGTTTTCGATTAGGAAGGATTACTTGGCCGCGGTTGTAATACTGATTATCTTGTGGCATACTCTTATATCATTTCGGACTCCGCAGGATGTCGGCTTTTCAATGCACTTCTTTTCAATCTCCTATAGAAAGCGTGCTCGGTAAAAGATAACTACTTAAGTAGCATGCATTTTCCCATTGATTTTCGATGGTCTTGGAAATGCAAATATATTTTATAGAAACCATAAACAAAAATGTACTTTTTTTAGTGAATCAATAGAGAATCACGTCTTCTTTATATTTAATACTTATGGAAGGAGTATAATTAGGTTTAAAAAGTTTTCTAATTGCAGAAAAATTTGGAGCCTGATCATTCGTTGCATTATCGCTTAGTGATTTCACTCTACAAGGTGCATTCGTTCCGAGTAGAGAAAATCCCATATTTTTCTATGCCATTAAGGAGATATCATACAGAGTCCATAAAAATTTGCAATGGATGTGGACCATGTTGTAAATTCCATGAGCAGCAGTGGTAAACGGACAGGTACGATGCTATGTGAACGGACATATCGAGGTCTTAAAAAGTCTCATAATTAGAAACTTTTTAAAACCTAATTATACTCCTTCTTTAAGCATAAAATATAAAGCAGAAGTGATTCTCTATTGATTGAGTAAAAGAAAGCATATTTTTATGTGTGGCTTCTATAAAATATATTTTAATTTCAAAGACTATCGAAAATAAATGGGAAAAATTCATGCTACTTAAGTAGTCATTTGTTACAGAGCACGCTTTCTACAGGAGATTGAAAAGAAGTGTGTTCAAAAGCCAACATCCTGCCAAGTCCGAAATGTTATAAGAGTATGTTACAAAATACTCAGTATTACAACCGCGGCCAAGTAATCCTTCCTAATCGAAAACGCATTTTAGAATTTCCGCCAACATTTCATGAGATAGGTCACTTACTGTATGTAGTATTAGGTGCATGCATCCTTAACTCGAAACAATTATGTTTGAATTCTCTCGGGTTTTGCGCGACACTCCAAAAGTAGCCAAAATCTTAACAAATTAGGAACTTCATAGCGATCCCCAGTGTCTGTTAGAAACACCGTATTTTAGCAATCTAGTTCATTTCGAAATGGCAGATAGAGCTAGATTCCGGCAAAGTACATTCCATCATTCGATGGGTAGTCAGTTTAGGACGCTTCAGTATATATTTTAGGTGGCTTCTATCGGCGTTCAAGTGCTCTGCTTGTAATTAATCTATCACTGAAGGTGAAAATATTTACGCAGGTTGACCACGCTCAGAATCTAGCATTAACTACTAGCATTTCAGAAACAGGGACTACCTTGAATGACCATACCTCATATAAAAGGTGTCCACATTCAAAGATGTGAAATTAAACGTCAATAAGTAGTTGCACGGCAGCTAATGGCCTCCACCGCATATTGGGACTGCTTCTAGTGAAAAAAATCCCAGTTCTTTTTTAATGGCAGACGAAGATAGCTATCGCCTTCACTTACCAAGGCTTGTAAAACTGCTCAGGATAGTTTAAACAACGAAGATTGGCCATCCTCCATTCTGCATGCGAGGTCTTAGAGTAGCCAGTGCGAGATTCGGACTGGCACTGAGCGCAGGTTATGTTGCGTGAGGGAGTAAAACCTGCACAAGAAGATAGGTCAGTGAGCGAAAAAGCAAAACGACCACGCACTGCGTTCGAGTGAGGTTATTGCACCGACTTCGCAGACAATTAGATGTCCCAGCCAGATTTCTACAACCACAAATATCCCAAAGAACATCGTGCGTCCGGTGTTGCGGAGGGCAACAGGGCTAGAGTTACTTTTTATGCAGTTTACGAGGCAATTTTTTTGTGTACTGATTGGTGGAGACGAAGGCCGGCTTAATCGATGTCCTAGAGGCTGTGGCCTGGTCGTCCGGCCAGCAGTGTCGGGCGTGTCCGACCAATGTCTGTCGAGTCGTGAGCTGATTGGTTGACGTAGGGCCTGGAAATTGTTTCTACAATAGCACGCGCCCATGTCGCCCTTCTGACGGAGGCAGCGTAGAATCGTGCGAGGTTCAGATGGTCAAACCTCAAATATGCCCCGAGCTGGGAAAACGTAAGGCTGGGGTTCTGCGATGGGAGTCACACATATCCACTTTTGCAGGATCCATTTGGGGACCATATTTCAACGCCTCCAGGGCTCCATGTCATGTTTCTAACGTTAGTATTTTCGACGTGCAGGCCAGTTTGCGGACTAGAAAGTAGTGAGGAGGGAGCGAGAATGAGGAAGAATGGAACTGTCCTTTCAAGTTCGATGGCTTGAGAGAGAGAGAGAGAGAGCCACTCGCCGGTAACTTTTGCCGTCTGACAACGTAAAAAATGAATGTCCTTATCGGAGTCCGAAAATTACTACGCCTTCCACCCGAAAAATTAATCATGGAAAACTGAATATAGTGTGCCAGCCAGCCAGGTATGCAGGAGGCCCCAAAACGCCTGAAAAACCAACATAAATGGACAAATAAATCATAATGTCTGTATTCGGGGGGAGGCGGGAGGTTCAGTGTTTCCTGACTGTGTCTGGTGCGATATGTTTTATTGAAGGTAACAGCACTTCTGCAAGCAAAGGCCCACCTTCCAAGCCCAGCAAAACGGCCTTGCGATCTAATTCAGACTGTCAGCATGAAGCAAACAATACAAATTAATTCATGAAGGTTACTGGGCGACCGCAACAACTCAGTAGCGGACTGCTGGACGCGCTCTGTTCTCGCTAGAGAAAAATCGTACTGTGCCAACTGCCTTCTTTAATTATCTAGGTCCTAGGAAATACTCAAGGGAATTTGCACTGATGATGATGAGGATGAGGTATTGGTAG